TGCTTAGCCCAGATCCTTTCCTTCATTTTCCTTCTCCTCTCTCTCTCTGTTAATACCCCCCCTCCTCCTCCTCCCCCCCGTAGCATGGTAATGTTCTCAGATATTACAGTGGGGTAAACAGAGCCGGGTGTCGAAATGAAATAACTGCTACAGGGCTGTCAGCTCTAGCGAGGGGCCCATCCGTCAGCGGGAAATGACACGTCGGGGGCCCCCCCCCTCCCCTTCCTCCTGTCACACACACACACAGTTGGATTCCTCGTGTCCTCCTGGTGGCAAGGTGAAGGAATTATACTCATCAGAGGCCCAGTGCAGCCTGGAGCCTTTCCATTAACCTTCTACAACGCTGGTCAATGGCGAGAAGAGAGGCGCAACTGCCATCGCGCACACAAGACGTAGACAACGCTTCTGGGAGACGTACATAAAAGCAAATTAAGGCATAGGCATGGAATTACACTATATTTTATTTTATATTTCCCACACACACCATAATTATTCTGGTTTATACACAGGTATACACAAGCACACACACAGCTCAATTACCGTTTCATTCATAGCCTGACAGCAGAGCATGTGCGAAGGCTGACATTAAAGGAAATTAAATCTCCTTGTGGAATGGGCCAGCCCATCTCACCTCCCGTCAAAACGCTCCCATTTCCACTCCTCCACGTAACCTTCTCATCTGGGTATTTAGGGCTTTGTGGTGCGGAACGTCATCAAAGAGAAAACTTAGTGAGGCGGCCGTGTATAGACGAGGCCTCCCCATGATAATCCCCCCCCCCCGGCCCCCCTTGCATAAGGAGCTATCTACTATTAGCCGCACACACAAATTACAGCTTCACGTTCCATCGTATTCTTTCACCGTGTGTACCGTCACGCTTATAGAAGCAGGCGCTCTCATTGAAAAGTGCTCCCGCGCTTACACACATTCACGCACACGCAAACTCTGATATCACTGACTTATAGCCCAGCGATTCAGGCAGTTAACTCTTTGATCCAGACCTCCTGTCTGCGCTGGAATACGAAGCCTATTTGACATAATCCTCCAAAACATTGCCTGACATAACCAGTGAAACTCAAAGGAAAGCACAGCTGCACAGCTACACACACCAAAGGGACTTACCAGCAGAGTGACACGTGTACAGTAGATTTTTACGGGCAGATTTAATTAAGCCTCATTCACGGCCAAATCCTGTGTTATACAAACTTGTGCATGAGCTCTTTCCCGGTCGCTCTGAAGAACGCAACTGTGACAAACCTGCAATGGAAGGAGGGGGTTTCATTTGCCCTGAAGTTTAGTAATTGAGTTCCTGGTTAAAGGAGAAATAGCTGCAGTTTTCCCGCTTTCACATCGGTCACCAGCTTTCTCCCAAAGGCTTTAATCAGATCAAACATGTCCTGTCACATAAGACGGCTAATTAATCAGGGGAGGGACCGGTTTTCTCCTCTGACAGATGGAGTGATGGAGGCAGGACGCCCGATGGAGGCACTTCCTCTCCTCCTCCTTAACCTCCTCCTCTGCCGTCAACAGAAAACATAAGACAGAGCGAGGCAGCGTTGCCTGTGGCAAAGCACAGAGAGTCTGTAAAGATTCTCAAAGACACTGTTTACCTGCAACTGTACCGTCTCCGCAATGTCTCCCCGACTGAGAATAAGACAAGACTTGTGAAGCTGCTGTTTGCAGTGCTGCAGTATGAATTCCATCTTTCTCATCTTTTCTTTCTTTTTTTTGAGGCAAAATAAACTGATTTCTGCATAAAGTAACGCTACTGACAGATTACAAGCACGTTTGTGGTTTGGAAAAGCAAAAACATTATATTTATTTAACTGATGTGCAGATTGTCTTAATTTCTGTGGGTGAAAGTCATTTCCTCCTTGTCCCTGCTTCTCTTTTCAGTTTTTAAACTTTATGAGACTGGACATGGCCGATCAAACTTAACCACTCCTGAACTAATGGAATGAACATTTTATATAATATAATATGATTCCATCAATTTTTATAGATATGAGTCCTGCTAAATTAATATTCTTATCAAGGAGAAATTCAGCGGCCTCCCTTCTTATTAGGTATAGATCCCAACCATTCCACAGATTACTGCTTTTCTACATGGCAACGCTCCTTGTAAAGTTCCCTTCACTGCCTAAAATATTCGTCTAAAGTGGATTAAAATGTAACACTCTCAGAGGCTGTTATTGACAAGGGCGAGAATGAATTTTTTTTTATTTATTTATTTTTTTTATTAAAGAGTTCACAAAGGCAGCTTCTGAAGATCAGTTCAAAGTTATCAGTTTAATTAACATCATCGTTCACTGAACCCATGTTGGAGATAGGGTTGTACCAGGTCTCTTATCATGTGAGCTGAAGTGGAGGTACATCCTTCAACATGTTAGTGTTTATTCCTTCAGCCAACCACAGAATAGATGGCTCTTGTTATGGCTGCTGTTGAATAAAAAGCTTCAGAGATGCGGATGCTGCCTCGGATGAATAGGATCTGATTGAATAGTAACTAACGACCTGGATTGAAGGATGAATTGAATATATAATTTGATATGTTGGAAAAGAAAATACCAACATATATAGCTTCAAGAGTACAACATAATTAAAGATCAGGCTGACATAATGTCGTTTCATGCTTAATTTACAGACTGACATGATGGATAGATGGATGGATGGATGACTGGCATATATGGTGACTGCTTGCCTCAGTGGCTAATTGACTGATGGGACCAGGCTGCTGTTTCCAGCTGTTCTGCTGTGGAGCGCACCGGGCCCTCTCTTACCTCAGGCTCAGCCCACCATGAGCTGTGCGGCTACGAGCGGCCCCTTGTGCACTACACAGGAAACACCACCATAAACTACATACCTTCACGTTTTCTCTTTCTATCCCTCTTTCCCTTAATCCTCTCCTCCCATGAGAGTTCAGCCACAGTTTGGTTTCACTGTTGCGTGAGGCCTTGTGACTCAAAGCTGATGAGAAATTATTTCTCTAACCATCTTTTCTTCTCCTCTCTCCTCCTCCTCCTCCCTCCTCTCTGCTCCTCCAATTCCCTCACTTCCAGCAACAGGAGCAAGACCCCACCAATCTGTACATCTCCAACCTGCCGGTTTCTATGGACGAGCAGGAGCTGGAGAACATGCTGAAGCCCCTGGGTCACGTCATCTCCACGAGGATACTGAGGGACGCCAACGGGGTCAGCAGAGGAGTTGGTTTTGCCAGGTACGTGACGTTATTGATACGAATGTGACGTGAATGCAAAGGTTTAAATATCTCCTCTTATTTCATTGCCCTGCTGCCTCTATGAATGCAATAGTACAGTTTTTTCATGATGAATGTACAGAACTTATGCCCACACATGGGTCAAATACTTATTCCATATATAGTGGTCTCGTACTCCATGATCTGCAAATAGATTTGACTTGTGTGATGTATTCAGACACACGCACACATACAAATGCCCTGATCATAGTGTGCACAAACATGCATGCACACACGTACACACCCTGGCATACAGTCCCATGCTTGTACATCCTAAGTGCTTACACACATTTATTCTATAAAGACGCTTGTCAGATGAATCCTGCTTCCAGGCAGTGGAAACTTTTAGGTCTGATTTGTTTCTCCTCTCAGTCTGTTTGACTGTGTGTCTGCCCGTGGATGAGTTAGTCTTTATTTATGGCTGCGCATCACAGTCTGTGTACGTGTCTGTGTGTGTGTGTGTGTGTGTGTGTGTGTGTGTGTGTGTGTGTGTGTGCTAGTGTGTAAGCTAAACATGCCTATTAATGGATGCCTCTACATTCACACACGTTCATGGATACCAGCGATCACCCCTCGTCCTTACAGTACAGCTACTGCTTTATTTCTGCCACCAAGCCTCTCACTGAGCAGTTTATTTCTTTTTCTACTTAAAAAAAGTTTCCTCTTCTGCTTGTTAATCCCCCGAAGTCATAAACTGCTCTGTCCTTGTCCTCAGCAGCAGCCACCAGGCTCTCATTCCTCTCCACACATTCCTCCCTTGTTTACCCAGAGGAGGCCACTGACGGCCACAGAACTGCCATCTTGCAGGGATTTTTCTTAATCACCTGCTCTGGCTGAACTCCTCCTCTATTCCCTGCTCTATTACTGAGGGTTACAGCAGGACAGACAAGAACAAACACACACACACACACAGGCACAAACATAAGCATATGCACAGTTCTACACACACCGGTGCACACACATGCACACATACACACACTCACACAGACAGGTAGGCCTCCTGTAGACCGACAAGCAGAGCACAGCAGCAAGCTGCCACAGGCCACCTGTTCAACCAGCCCTCGGCGGGGGGAGGAGGAGACATGATGGAAAGAGAGAGTGAGACGGCAGGAAGAAGAAGGAGAGAGGGAGAGGAGTGAGAAAACAATAGCTGAATATAAAAGAAGAAGCTAATGAGGTTAAGATGAAGAGGAAAACAGGGTGATGGGAGAATGTGATGGAGACAAATCGAGGAATCGTGAGGTGGCGAACGCGGGTGTTTGGGGAAAAAAGTGGAAAAGTGAATAAGTGGTGTTTTAGGAGGGATGAAAGGAGGTGCTATTGTTTCTGGATGGATCAAGGAATAAAAGAGAACGGTGCTATGTGATAACTACAGGTCAGAAAAAGAAGTCAGACAGAAGAAGGAGGATCAACGTGTTTTCTAAATGGGGGAGTTGGCGTTAGCTGTGTCAACAGACAGGCGGACAGACAGACAGCTGCTGAGGGCCGGGCCATGAGGAGCATTAGAGAGAGTAAACCCAGCTAAGTGTTTGTGGGCCGATCCATTACTGATATCAGAGCCCATTACCGCAGCCCCAGCACTAATCATTGCAGACAGCAGCACCTGATTCCATTAACCAGCAGCACACCGAGAACACAGAGAACAGCCACAAAGCTTTACTGCCTACCTGGCCAGCTCAATGACTGCCTGACTACCCCAAAAGTCTGATTGACCAATAGACAGCCTGGCTGACCGGTTTGTTTCCCAGCGACTGCCTAACAGACTCCTGCCTTATTTACTCCTCGTCTGCCCACCTGTTTCCTGTCGACATTACCCGCCGCGCTGTCGGAGAAAGAGGGAAGGAGAGACGGCGTCGAGTGGGAGGCAAAGCAGTGAATCGCCAGAGGGGGGAGGATAAAGCGCGCTGGGGAATAGCAAGAGAAGTTAAGCATGAGCACTTCTAGTCTAGAGAAGCTCTGGAGAAGGGTGATGCGTTCAGCCTGATTTTCAGCCTCCGTTAAAAGGCGGGCAGCAAAAACATCCCAAAAGATTATCTCTAAAACATCACTTGCACATAAATCATTACTTCACTAAGTGGAGTGTGCACTATGTACTGGGCTGTTAGGCTTTAGTGAAAGAGATAAAATGTGATAGAGAGGTTAGCTGTGTGTTAGCTGTCATGCAGATCCTCTCTGTGTCACTGAGCTGGCTCCTAATGTGAAAGAATTGGGTTATTGGCATGTTTGTGAAACGGTGATGAAGTGCAGTGCTGTGTGTGAACATGAGGAGCATGAATGCTCCGTACTGTATATTCAATGAAATTGTATTTTTATTTTTTTACTAGTTTTGCCACATTGACAGTTTTAGCCCTATGTTATGTTTTATTTTGTTATATCTTGGACATCTCTGTCCACTTCTGGGGACAATAGTTTAATATAATGTTGAGCTCCATATTAAACCCTGAGTGTTTTTTAGTTGTGACTAGATGCTTTCTGCTCTTTTGTCTTGTTCCTGTGGAACTGTGACTCATTTAAATCCTATTATACCAAATTTAGACTCTTTTATTTTGGCACATTTGACATATAGCTGCTTTCGTCCAGATGTGTAACATTTGAGAAGTTTCTTTTCTCTTCAACTAAAAATACTCTGCACATGAATCAGCTGAAAGTCTGTGTTTTTAATGATGTGATTTCTTGTTGCTGAGTACTGATGATGTGTTTAATGGCACTTGTCACAATAAGTCATCTGCTGAGTCACTCTGGCCGGTGAGGATCAGCTGTCCATGTGGTGGCGGAGACGGAGGGAAAAGAAAGAGCGATGGCGGAAAAGGTCTGACACGGGGTCAGGGAGAGATGGATGATGCCGGGAAGTGTGACAGATTATCATATTCTAAAAAGAGAAGTCGAGAGAGGAAAAGGGAGAAAGATGTTTATGTGGACGGGGCGTAACAGAGGGAAACAAAAGGATGGGCAGAGAGGGAAGGAAAAGGAGGGAACGTAAAGTGAGAGAGATGGGGCGGGAGGGAGTGAGGGTAACGGTGAAAGATGGAGGAAATGACCAAGGTTGAGAGACGGGGAGGAATGAGAGAGACGTCAAAAAAGAGAGGTGCAGACAGGCCGAGAGTAAGATGGATGGGACATAGAGAGCGATAAAGAAGCTACGATATGAAAAAAAGAAAAGCAGGATGAAGGAAGAGATGGGAGAAGGATGAGGGACAGAGGACGGAGAAGTAAGAGGCTGATAGGATGATATGAGTATTCTTGGAGGTGAGAGCGAATGAAGCATGAAAATCTGAAAAGAAATGAATTCTGTACATTCCAAGAGAGCGTCACCATAAAGACAGAGGAATCACTCAGGCCTGGTTTTCAAACCGTCTCATTTTAATATGAGCTGTTTGTATTCACATGTTAAAACAATCTGATAACACACCTGCAAATAATATAGTGGTTGTGTTTTTGTGGAGCAACACAACAGATTCATTCTTCATTTTTAGAGAAAAAGATAAAAGAAAAGGACCCTGCACGAATTATAATCATAATCGGTTTTTGATATAAAGGATTAGTGGTACGTCACAGGTAGAGCTCATAAGAACAGTCCAGGGGAGGCCAGGTGTTCGTTTGGGTGGGCGCCCCTCGTGTTCAGCTCTTTTGCTGTGAGTCTTTCCCGATTCTCTCTCTCCCCATTTCACACTTAATATCTTGTCAATTAAAAAATATCAGTATTGCTCTGATCTCTTAACTGTGAAGCTGCATCCCTTAGAGGTATTTTAAGTCCACAAGAGAGGCTGTGAGCAATGAAAGCCAAGTTACAGATGAAGACACTGAGAGATATGAGGACAGGAATGAAGTCGAGGTGTGTTTCTTTGTCATATTAAAACCAGGTGTACCATGTGGCTAATGCGTAAATTTACAATGTGTAAGGTTGGAGGAGTTAGATCATAAGCTGGCACATAGTATAGCTTACTTAAATCCCTGACTTGTGTTTTGATGTGATGTGTGTCTGGACATTAATGTCTGCAAACATACGATGCGAGGGAGATCAGAGCCCACCTCGCGGTCAGCTGCTTGGCTCGTACACGCCGTTTGATCCACATCCAGATTCATTTCTGCCCTCCCACCCTGTCTTATATCTCTTCTTCTTCTTCTGCAACCCTTCATATGCTTTCATATGCATCCCTGCCTGCTCTCTCTGTCTTTCTATCATTTTTCTTTTATTAGGTAGGGGGGAAGGCTGCCTGACAACTCTTTCTCCCCCGCAAATGCTGAATTTCAATATGAAGTTGTGACTCATGCAGACAACGCTGTTCCGCAGCCGACAGACAGACTCTGGGTTGTCCCAGAGCAGTTTTTGGAATGAAAAGAAGTATAATGCAGCTCACAGTCGAGTGGGTGACTCCTCATTGTGGTAAATGTGTCGTGGGGACCAGTGTTTTCCTCAAGCTCCATGTTGTAGGGTTGCAGCGTAAAAGAGAAACAACAATGCAGAGGGTTGGTGATTTGATCCCAGTCTCCCTTATTCCACTGAAGTGTCCTTGGGCAAGCTACTGAAGCCCAAAGTGCCCCTGGTGTGTGATTGATGCACATAGATGCACTGTATGAATGTGTGTGTGAGACTGTTTATCGCTTTGGGTGGTCATCAAGAAATCATATAATTAGAAAAATAATTAGAAATTATAAAATCGACTCTCTTATCCCCCGTTTTTGAAAAAGCGGTACCATGGTCGGTGAGCTACTGCTGCTGTGTGTGTCCCTCATGTGTTTTAAATGTGTTTAAATCAAATCCCATGCTTTGCTTTCTTGCAGGATGGAGTCCACAGAGAAATGTGAAGTAGTGATACAGCATTTCAATGGAAAATACCTGAAAACCCCGCCAGGCATCCCAGGTGAGTCTCCTCTCCTTTGCCTTACATTACTCTCACATCACCCCTTTTCCTTTCCTTTCTTGAAAAATCATCACCTCTGCAACGAGAAACCTCCTCTCTAATTCGATTATGGTAATTCCTCATCTGTGATGTGCCGGACAGCTTGATAGATTGTGTACACCGTTGTTTCTGACACCTGGAGCTGGCTGGCTCACCTATACGGTTCCATACGTCTCGACCGCTGCCTCTCTCTCTGCCTCTGTCACCATTTCCCTCCCTCCCCAGTGCCGGAGGTTCTGCTGCTGCTGCAGGCTGGAACTTCTCGGGCAGGAGAAAACCCGTTTAATATTCACACTCATGCCTCTGTGCTGTTCTTGCAATCTACTTAAGAGCTTGCACTCTCCCCTCTTTCCTCTCCTGCTCTCTTTTGCTCTGTCCTCCCACTCTCTTTTTTTTTTCTGCAGTCACCCTAGACATAGGAACAAACTTGGCCAAGGAGAGAACAGGCAAGAATGTCACAAAATCGAGACACATGTAGAGACAAGATAGCGCCACGTGGTGTGCAATGGCAGATAAATCTTTTATCCTGCATCCGAAGTGGCGTCCCATGTCCCTAAAGTTTGAAACAAAGACTTTGCAATGTTGGACGGAACACAGCAAGTCCCTGAGGGAGTTACGGGTGACAAGAGGTGACAGCAGAAAGAAAAGTGAGGTGGAAGGAGAGCAAAGATATCAAAGACATAGTCAGAGGGAAAATCAAGGATGATGAAAATGCTGCCCAAGCATTTTTCGGGGCCAGGTGCTACGGAGCTTGAATACTCCCATGTGCCCCAGCGGGACAGACAGGGCGAGGAGATCTCCTTCACCCCCGGGGCGATGTTATTAACAATACTCACACCTCCAACCAGTGGCTCGGAACCATCTCCAGTATCCAGTGATATTTAGTAGAGTCTGGATTTAGAATCTCCATGTACGCTCGGCCGCTGCGTAGCCAGTGGCCATTAAAGGCAAGGTAAGCGGTTATATTGAAGTTGAGCCGTAATAGGAAACCTTTAAAGCTGTAATATCGGGCTGACCTTCCCCTTTAAGGGTCCATCTCCCAGCTGCTCAGACTTTATTATTGTTAATGGATTGTTCAGGAGATTTACTGCCCCGATCGAGGAAATCCTCCTGTGGAATTAAGAATGGTTAAGTTTACAAGGTCTACTCTGGTCTGGTGCTACAATCGTCTCATCCTGAAAGGTCCATGAAACCCCCCTCTCTCCTTTGCTGTACGCCAGAGTACACACACACACACACACANACACACACACACACACACACACACACACACACACACACACACACACACACACACACACACCATACATGACTGGAATTGCCAAAAACTATTATTGTTCCTTGTGTTGTGTCATTTTGTATGATTTGAAGCAATGCAAACCATAGTCATTATCAATTAAAATGGTAATTATGATTTATTGCAACTGGGGCCCCATCATTTCTATCAGTTGTGATAACAATGCACTGACAAAACAAATTCCTGAGATTTGGGAACCTGGTTAAACACCAGCAGTTATATGATCAGACATTCTATCTAAATTATCTAAACCGCGTCATTTGTAAGCAAATCAAAACGCGAATTCACGAGAAATGTCAATAAAACCCCTCTTTGCATATGAAAACTGTTTACACACGAGTGACAGAAATTTGTTGAAAAATCTGCTGGACGGTCTGATCCCTCATGTCTCCGGTTCTGTCTGTCTTCTTTTTATCTGTGATGACTCGCTTCCACATCCCAGAAATTAATTTATAAGGCAGAATCCAATAAAAAAGAGTTATTGTTTATACCGAGATTTATTGTTACGCTTCAGATATTAAAATGTTGTCCCTTGGATGTCAGTCTTATTTATGAATACTAATAGATAAAAGCTCCCTCTATCATTCCTTTGATACTTTCCCCATAAGTTTCAATTCATCCGAGGGTGTGCGATTGATGAAGTGTGTTTCGTTTTTTCTGCTGTCTGACACTGTCCATGTCGACCGTCTGTCTGCTAAATGGAAATCTCTGGACATTCCTCTGTTATCAAACTCACATGTTCCTCTGCAGAGAACCGCACGGCTGCTTCTCTTTTCACACAGGCAGCGGCTCGCCCTTCATAGACGTGCATGTGAGTGTGCACGTCATGGGTTCTCACAACATGTTTGTGATTCATGCATGTTTATTCAAATTTATGCTTTTTAAAGTGGAAAACATATACACACTGTGTTTGTGTGCAGACAGAGGATGTGTCAGTGTGTGTGTGTGTGTGTGTGTGCGTGTGTGTCGTGTTGGTGGTATTTCCCCAGAGCCCCTTGCTATGCAGGGCAGCTTCTTCATCCATCCATCTTTGACAGCTCAGCGGCACCCCCTGGGGGGGGCCCCGCCACACACGGCAAAGCAGTGAGAGTGTGTGTGAATGTGTGTGCGCGTCTGTGCGTGCATGAGAACACTTTCAGCTAACATATATGCACATACACATGCACACACTCATCTCAGTGTACCAAGTGCACTCAACAATCCTCTCAAGCCCATATCTGACAAGCCTCTGCACATCCAGCTTAGCCACTCAGTCACACCGTGTCAAGAGGTGTGTGTGTGTGTGCGTGTGTGCTTGTGTGTGTGTGTGTGCGTGCAAGATGGGGGTTGCTCTTGTTAAAGCTGTCCTCTTCTCCTCAGGTGTGTCCAGTGGCGATACAAAAAAAGATATTGAGTTATAACCTTTCCTGTCACACACCAGGAAGTAAACATGACGTGGACGTCATGTGCCCGGTCATATGTTACGTTCAACTGACCATGGGGAAGTTAATCAGAAAGGAAGTCACCATATTGGCTATTAGTTTGGAGATAACGCAAGGACACATGGAGAGGGAGCATATACAGAGCAGAAGATTGCGGTGATGCTAACAGATGGCAGCTAATGGCTCCATAGGCCGTTTCCATACACTTCCTGTTTAAATTTTAATGTAATAACATCGAACCTCCTTGTGATTATATGAGATGTTGAGTTGATATACAGTGTGGAGGGACGATGGCAGATGGCAGCTAATGATTCTCAAACAGCTTCCCTATTCTTACCATTAGGATTGTAATGAGATCGTGTCTAATTTTCATGTAGTCACACACAGATACAATAAACGGTTTCATGTATGTTAGGTGTTATATCAAGACATTCATCCTTATAGATACGTTTCCGCTCTAAAACAAGTTCTACAAAAAGAACTTGAAACGAATTCACTTCTGCGGATTCCAGCGACTTCTACAGAACCACGAACCGCAGCGCTCACATATAGATGCGTCCAATCAGCTATCCAGGTCAGGTTTGTTTGGCGAGGCCTGGTTGATATGAGAGGTGTGTAGCAGTCGTCCAACAAGCCAGTCACTGAGGCCTGCTCCAGCCGCTCTGGTCTGCCCACGTCTGATTGTGATTCAGAGAGAGGGACATGATCGATAGCCCCTGATGGAGCACTACAGCTGTTTAGCTATTCTGTGCAATGCGGCAGCCGCTCTGCCTGACGCTGTTGTCGGATGTGAGTGTGCATACACCCGCACACGGAGAGGAACTCGTGCACAGGCTCCATATACAGGAACGTGGACATGTATGCCAAAGTAGGCATGTAGTGTGTGTGTGTGTGTGTGTGTGTGTTTTTGCAGCAATACGAATACTGTGCATGTATAGGTGATACACACAAACAGATAGATGGACACGTTCTCCCATGTAGACATGCCAACCTCTTTTCAGAGAACAATCTGCTTTGTTGTTGGACGTGAGAATGAAGAGTTATCCGTGTTTTTCTCGGCGGATGTGGTTTTACTCAATTTACAAAATAAATGGACTTTATGAATTGTGACTACAGCAATGACCCATGCTGAAGTGAGCCCAACAGGGACGCATTATGATTTACACGGCAACCCTGAGCAGTAGGAAAGTCAAAGGAAGCACAGATAAAAAGTGATTTAATCCGCCGGCTCCACTGAGCCTCGCTGATTAAAGCCTTGCGTCCCACAATGCATTAAACAGCTTAGAGATGACACCCTATGGTAAATTTGATTCGAACCGGAGACACATTAGCCACTGTTTGGCTTTGGCAGGTGAGCAATCTCATGTGCACGTATTGTGTGTCTGCAGTGGCACAAAGGAAAGTGATAACACTGGATACACTGCATGTGCTGCTCCTCTCCCTCGTCTTTGAGCCATTTAACTTAATTTCAAAAAAGAGTCAAATAAACAATGGCTGTGTTTTCAGATGCAGGTAATGTTGAGCATTGCTAAGAATGGCAGCAGCAGCAGACTTTGATGAATCTAACATCCCCACGAATGTCTAACTGTGCAAACGGTGATTCAGTCCAGACCGAATGTTCGGTAGCACATGCAGCTTCTTCCTTTTCACTTCCGTTGCCATCGCTGTTGTTGCCAATATGGCAGCAGAGCTCAGAGTTGGCTCCAATATCGTCCAATAGACGCTGGATAAATAATGAAAACCACATCAGGAAGCAGCCACAGTGGCCCTGGGAGATGGAACCAAACGGAAACATACAATATGTACAAGCTTTCCTGTTTCTTCTTCTTCTTTTTTTAGACAGGACTCTGGCATTTCTCTCTCTAACCTTATCTGTTTTTACAATTTCTTTTCAAAGTGCTGTGACCGTCTCTGTCCTTTGAAACTTTTCAGCTTCAAAGTGTAACTATGCTATTTTAGTGTCTCAAAATTTAATTTACTCATGGAGATTAGTGGTGCACTTTCCCATACCCTTATGAGTTTCATTGCATTAGAAAAATCCAAATCATAGTCTTGGTTTCTCTGTCAGAAATCCAGATGACACTGGGGCCTTCTGTAGAATTACTGCAGCTGTCAAGATTATGCTAGACAGAGTTAACAGGGGCCACTATTTGGCAACCCCCACCCTCCTTTTACCAAACGTCTGTGCTGAGCCCAAGTGCTGGACCCGACAACACATCCCCGTGATTATTTGCAGAGGCCCGTGCCGCTGAGGGTGGGGGAGCTGTTGCTGGGGGTGCTGTTGCAGAAAAAGATCCACTCCCTATTGGCATCCTCACCAAGGCAACGGTGCCAAGATAGCAGAGACAGCCCGCGGTATTAAAACGTCCCTCGCTGAATTAAGGCGAGTCCCAAATCACTTGGTAAGTCACAAAAAGCCCTTCTGAAACTGTCAGTCATACTTGAGTAATCCATGTTAATTTCTGCAATCCCTCCCACATTCCCCTGGCTAATAACTGGCCTGTCGACAGGACTTTTTCTCTCCCCTATGGCGTGTAGATTTAACTCTCAGCCAAGTAGGTTGGTGGCGTGGCTGTCAGAGTGTCTGAGACATGGCTGCCTCTCCCAACACGACCTCATTTGTTTCCCATGATGCATCTGTGCGTCATGTATGGCTGCTGATCTGTGAATTGTTTATATCTAATGTTTTCCTTCCTATTAGAAACAAAAGGTCGAATCCATCCCACATTGATAATTCATTTACCGGGTGTGAACTAGCTATATTTCT